CAGGTTCATCAAATGCTGCGCCTGCCGCAGAATCTGCGCTCAGCCACGCCTCTTCGAGGAGCCCGGGATCTTTACTTACGGACAGATCGACGCCAACGCGCTCCGTGCTTTGGTGGCGTTCAATGATGTGAGCCCGCCATCCGTGTGAAGAGATCAGCCGATTGCTTGTTATCCGCAAGCGCTGAGGGGGCACCGGACATACCTTTTCGAGTCAAGCTCCGTTGCGCCGGTCCCACTTCGGCGGTCAACTGGATGCTCCGAGATCAGCCTGGTCAAGTCTTTCATGGTCAGACCGAAAGCGTGGGGGAATATTCGGCGCGTGCCGGTCGCAGTGGAATGGATTCCGGATGTGATCAGCTTCTGGAAGCGCATCAGCACCAAGAGCACTCCGTTGAAACGTCTCCGTGGTATGCGAGAAGGTTTACTGCCGCTTGGCAAGGAGATGCTACCATGTCTTCTTGAAACGCAGAGCTTCTTTGAAGTGCTCTGCCCTCTTGCTGTGTCATAGTGAGGAGTCGGCGTGACAAATCGCCCGCTACTTTGTTGGAGACGCATGGTTCTGTCAAGCGTTTGCGCCCGTCGGTTGTTGCATATCAACTTCTACAGCACTTTTCACTCTGCGTCGCCGCGTGAATCCTCAGTATACTTTGCGTACAACGATATTTCATCTTTGTTTTGTTGCGCAAGCCAATTCTCCCGAACTGCTCTCCCCTCGCCGTTCACGCGAACACTTCTGGTTGTTACAAAGAAAAATTGATGTTAGTGTGTTTTCAGGTCCAGTTCAGGTGCTCCAAAGCTTTGTGCAGTCACGTTACAGTACTGACGCAGGGTTCAGCTCCGGACGCTGCTGTGGTCGCGAAACACCGCGGATTTTGCTTGTTTTAAATCTTGTTGCTCGTCATTCCAACGAGACATGCAGATGTGTGTATATATATATATATTTGTTTATTTATTTATATCTGCGGCGCAACGCGCGATGCCGAACTGTCAGGCTCCTGGTCACACGTACGACCTTTTCACTCACCGCTTCGATGATTGCGCCGCAGGCTGGGGGCGAAGTGGTAGTCATAATCCTTTCACAGGAATCCGAAGAAACAACGGCTGCTTTTTTTAAACATCTTTGCTTCTGCGCGTCGTGACACTAGATAGATATATGACTGGAGCGCAAGACGGGAAGGTTGATGACAGTTTTCGTGACCATTTCGACGGTCAGAAGTGGTCATGAAAAATGACACCAAAGATTCTTCATGAGACGCGTGATGCTGTTTGTTTCGGTCCATGAAGGGCTTAGCTTCAGATTTCTGAGAGATCGACCACTGTTTAGCTTTCGTTTTCCATCTCCGAAGAGGCAGACGATCCGCGTATACGCCTGAAGTCGGTGTGACAACGGGTGTGTGCGCGGTGTTGTTGGCACCTCATCGAACGGAAGCCAGGTTCACTGACCAAGCGCGCTCCATTTGGGCACGTTGTCATGCACTTTTCTGATCAGTCTCTACTTCTCATTACTACCACTCATCACACGCCACTCATCTCATTCACTTTTATCGTCCAGAATCTTTCCGTCCTCTTTTCTTCTCAGTCTCTACTTCTCGTTGCTAGTTCTGACAAGCTTAACATGTGGGGTTATCTGGTCCTTTTATTCCCCACATCTCTGTGTGGGGTTCTAGTTTTGTTGGCTGCCATCCCGCCCGCGTCCGCCCTTCCTTCCTTCCTTCCTTCCTTCCTTCCTTCCTTCCCTCCGTCCTCCTCGCCCCCTCCTCGCTCGCTCACTCACTCACTCACTCACTCACTGCAGTCTCCAGAGACTCAGTCACTCACTCACTCACTCACTCACTGCACACTCACACTCCCAGCAGTCTCCAGAGACTCAGTCACTCACTCAGTCACTCACTCACTCACTCACTCGCTCACTCACTCACTCACTCACACTCCCAGAGCCAGTCACTCACTCACTCAGTCACTCACTCACTCGCTCACTCACTCACTCACTCACACTCCCAGAGCCTGTCATCCAGAGACTGCAGAAGGGGCGAGACTGCAGAAGAGGCTGCGGCGCGCGGAGTCGCCGCTGGGCCCCCCC